GTCGCAAGCAACAATCCAAGCAGAAATCAAAGTACAATGTTCTGATGTCCTTTTGGACTTGATAGTTTTTCTTTTGTTTGATTCAAGGTCTAAAATATCGATGGTATCGGAAATATCGGTAGTCCGAAAACACGGAAATTTGGATGGAAATATCGGGATATTATCAATATCGATAAAAATTGAATAAAAACCACGGAAATTGTAAGAAAAACTTGGAAATTTTTATTCAAACTTTGGAGGATGTTTATTTAGTCAATTATCTATTAGTTTATCACAAAAAATTAGAAGGAAATTCATTGCATGATGAGTTTAACTTATTTAAGTTGATTCTATAGCGAGCTGACAAACACTGTGAGTGTAGAAAATATGTAGTAACTAATGAAAGAAGATTAAACACACCATAATCATTTATATCAGTCCCGTTCTCTTGGACCCCTATGGTCCAAGGACTTGTGGTCACCCACCCATAGATTAGATCTAAGGGTTCATAAAAATCTATTTAAAAATAAGTTTTTTTTTTACTTTTACTGCATAAGATATTAATTTAACTTAACCAAAAACTAAAAGTTAAAAAAGAAATAATAACACTTCACTCAAACAACACATTCTTCCTTCCATCGCCGCCACAGCAACTCCAACGCCATCGCCGCCATTGTAACCCCGACTCTAGCGTCTCATACGAAAATCCAAACCCACCCATCCCCTCGCAATTTAACACGATCGATATGTAATAAACAAAGGGAAAACTAGAATTAAAGAAACAAATGAATGAAGGTCTGGTAAAAATAAAAAATAAAAAATTCAGATGATGTAATTGCAGGATGCCCACCCAAGACCGCTTCCTGTTCACATGTTAATCGCTTCTTGATGGTATAAGATTCATGGAAATCATGTTAACCAATAAAAGAGGAGGAAACCCAATTGTAGAAACCGAAAAAGTGAAAGAGCCAAATTAGAAAAACTGTTCAGGTCTACAAAAAAAAAAATCAGCCTATGCCTTTGCATTCAACTGACTATGGGTGGCTCGAGTAACATCATGTCTGCAGAGGGTCGTCTACAATGCTGGAATCGGAGGTGCTATGGCGGCGATGGGAGGAAGAACACATTCATGATTTTCTCCTCTGCACGTGTTTTTGTTACAGTGAACTTTTATTATTTATTTTTTAAATTTCGGTTTTTGATTAAGTTAAATTAATATCTTGATTTTTAACTAGTTTTTTCTGAACCCTTAGATTAGATCCAAGAGTGGGTGACCACAAGTTCCTTGGACCACAGGGGTCCAAGAGAACGGCTCATTTATATATAATACTTTACTACAATATTTTATAATTTATACATTGCATGGTAAGATACATGAGTGACTATGAGGTTCAAAAAATTTCAGTATCTTCATCATCTCTATGTGTAGAGTAAGTGTATTGTGAGTAGTCATCAAATGATAAATCCCCAAAATAGTTTTTCCATGTAATTGATAACATGCCACCCATATCGATCTAAGATTGGTTGATGTTGTCCATAAGCAAAATCATTTAAAGATTGGATCTTGGATTCTTTTCATGAGCTGCTCGATTCCATCCCAAAAGGAAATGTCAAAGACTCACATTTTCATGTGAAAATCTAATTATTGCAAAAACAGTTCAAAACAAAACAATATAAATATACATATTTTAGCACATTATCACAAAAACATAAGCAACATGGCAGCTAAAGTGTTGGAGGAGTGAAATGGCAAGGGTTTGAATCCCCATTGCGTGTGTGCTTTGTGTTTTTTTTTTTTCTTTCCATTACGTCGATATTTTCGATATTATAGCGATATTTTGACAAAAGTATTGTTGAAGTGTGAGCGAAATTATCGACATCGATATTTTTCGATATTATCATCGATATTATCGATATTTATACAATATGTGTATGGATACGTTCCGAAATATCCGTGACTTGAAAAAACGATAATATCTTCAATATTTCGTCGATATTATCGATATTTTAGACTATGGTTTGATTGTGTAATAAACAGTTTCATTTTGACCTAGTTTATTTTATTTTTCAAATACTTTTTCTAGCTAGACTTTTTAGTTTTATTGTGGGAAATTATTGTTACACCCCAACCCAAATTTTATTTATCTATATAATTATTTTATTTAATTAATTATGAAATTACAATTTTGCCCTTGGGGTAGGGTCATTTTATTCACTTTTTAATCCTGTAGGATTTTGGGGAATTGAATAGCACCGTTACGATCAACGGAAGTGCAGTGGCACAACCGCAAATATTTCAAAGTCTCTTTCTCTCTCTCTCTCTCTCTCTCTCTAAAACCTCCAGCCGGCAACACCCTCGTTCGACCACCATTTGTGACGAGACCGGTCCTAAAAGAACTGACCCGCCTCCCTCTCTCCGACCCACCCTTTCTTCGCTGCAACCAGCTACCCCAACACTGGCAAAAGCTCGAAAATAGGCCGGATTTTCTTCAAATTTTCCGTCGTCGTTTCCAACCATTCCAACCACCAAATTTGTCGATCCATGTATGCTTTCTCATCCTTTCAACATGATCTAGTTGATGTTTGGGTTGTTTAGGATTGATTTTGAAGTTTTGAAGCTCGATTTACGATCCAAGTTTTGACCGATTTTCTGCTCGAATTTACGGCAAGCTCCGGCCACTTTTTGGCCGTGGCCCAAGAACAAAAGTTGCTCCACTAGTTGTTCTAATCACTGTCTGCCGCGCAAATCACACGGCCTGGAGTTCCGGGCCGAGGGGACGTGCGTTAACACGGGGTTTCCTGCTTTTGGGTGCGGTGCGGTTGTGCGCGGGCGTGCCAGCACGGTTTACCGTGCGTTGATGTTTTGATGAGCGTTGGATGGGTGAATGGTGCGCCTGTTTGATATGTCTTCTTGGTCAAACGATTGTAGCCGAGAGAGGAATTGGTCTCGGCTGTTAGGTTCACGGCCTGAACTACAAGGCCGTTGAGTGATGGTGTTGGTGGTGGGTTTTGGGCGGTGCTCCGGCGCGCTGCTCAGGGAGCGACGGTCGTGTGATATATGGGGTGAGTGAGCGAACAA